AAAAAAGTCACGTTTTTTTCTTCATATTTCGGTATATCTCTTATGTTTTCGTGTAATATGTAATAACTTTTTCTCTAAGTCCGGTTCTCATTATTTGGAACCAGGTAGTTCATTTCAAGGGATCAAGAAAGAGACTTATGCTCGAGTCTTGGAATTTCTATTCATTGTCCTCTAACCTTTCTGATATGCTATGCCTCATTCTAAAGAGTGGAAGAACAAAATACGATTTTTAAAACTCTATCTATAGGTATGTTTGTGCTGCTCGACAATTACAGTTCATTTGTAAACCTTCGAATCTGTAATCCATAACATTTGGAGAGGTGATGAGCATATTGTGTGTCCCACTGTCCATATACTGATAGATGTCAGGCAATTGTATTCTTGACATTCGCTGGAATACATTTTCCTTTAAGATGAATAGAAGAGAGCTAGTTTGTATTTGAAATTTTTGCGAGGTTGCTACTTGCTAGCGATGGAGTATTGTTTTTACAGTTCTTTTGGTTTGCATAGCCATTAGGTCGGTATACTTTTTTTTTTCAAAAATATTGCACACATTCGGTCGAAAATGTCATACTGTTAACAAAGAAAAATACGATATTTGGTAATATAAGTATGTATCTATGTACACGGTGTGACGGGATGCACTGCCTAATGGTTAGACAGCTTCACACTAAAATGTGTTGCTTTTATTGTTTCTCCAAGGATAAAAATAATAAAACAATTACACCATTGAGCCTTGATCACAACTTTCAGCATATCCAGACAAAAACAGAATGCACAAAATAGCCTTTTGCTGATGAAAGTCTAAGCAGCATTACTACTACAGTTAAGAAAATTAGACAAACATGATAAACAATAACGTGGGAATCATATTCAAATGCTTAATTACTGATGTTGAAATCAATTTCTTTGATCTAATAATAAAAAACATTAATGTCAACCTGCCCTCATTAAAGACAATCACCAGCTAAACTACACATAGTCACATACATCCATTGCCAACTAATGCTGCAAATCTATACATGTGATAAGAGGATCACAAAAACCAATTTACTCACAAGAAATATCTTAATAAAACCACGACCAATACATCGGATTTTTAGTTTTTTCAAAGCCACTATTCTCCTTTCGTTACCTCTCGACAAGTTACAAGATTTGGAAAAAAAAAAAAAAGTAAAAA